GCTGCTCAAACAGAGGGAGATAAGAGAAAGGCTGGAGGAGGACGCAGAGGAAAAGATATACAAGGAAGTTCAGGAGGACCTAACAACGGTGTCAGCAGCATTGAAAGCGGTAAGAGAGGCAGCGCAGAAGGAAAGGAAGGCAGAGATAGCGGAAGAAATGTAGTGGGCCTACGATCAGAACAAGCGCAGCGAGATGCATAGACTTAGGATCCGGCACCAGAACAACGGCAGGGGACCAAACAAACGTTACTACTACTACTACTACTACTACTACTACTACTACTACTACTACTACTACTACTACTACTACTACTACTACTACTACTACTACTACTACTACTCTCCACGGACCTACTAGATGTACGAAGTCGGTAGACACCCTCACCAGGGAGGACTGGCAGCTGAACACATTTGCATCCAGGCTCTGCGGTGGAACCACAAAGAGACATACGAATCCAGGCTACCGTTGGCAGAGGATGCAGATACGAGAGCACTGGCAGCTCAAGACGAGAGGAGCATGTTGCAGTACTGCAGGAAAGCAAAACAGGTAAGAGCCTTTCTTGACTGGGGGATCTAAGTGGAGTTGACTTGGTTGGCCCTCGACCCTACATTGCACTTGGAAGACCCGAGCGCGCTTAGCAATGAAATAGAGGGAGCGAGGATCAGGGCCGCAGAAGCGAGAGAGGATGAGGAGGAGTTGGAGAAGTACACGGATGCTGGAAAAGAGGAGGTGGACGACGGGACAGAGGCTTGGAGTGGCAGGGGGGCGGACGACGGTGCAGGAAGAGAAGCTTGCGAAAGCAGACCGTACCCACGTCCAACCAAGACCCTTCTCTCCCGCGCTTACTCGTCTGAGGGACGTGCTCTTGAAATGCCGAACAACTACTGAGACTACACCGCAGGATTGGAATCGATCGCGCGCATTCGACGCGGAGAATAATCACAACAAAGAAGGCATGCCAGGCAAACGCAACATGCACGCGTACTGTAGTATGGGCATGGCTTGGTTAAAAGGTGTACTCCAGAGTTCGTAATAAAAGGGAGGGGGTCTGGACCCTCCAAGACAAGCCATTTCGGACCTCCCCAGTGGGAGAACCCTCCAAAACATCGTCCCCAGACCCCCCAGGCCCTCCAAGATAGCCTGGAAGAGACCCCCCCCCCGAAATGAGACCCCCCTCCCTTTATTACGAAATCTGGAATACACAAAAGAGGACCCCAACCTGAGCACCCTTCGTGGGCACAAGGCGGACTTGCGCACTGATGCAGAGAGACCGCGACAGTGTGTATTGCTAGCACGCAGAGGAGAGCACAACAAGGGAGGTCAGTGTGGCGCACAGCACTTATGACTGCACGAATGAGTTTGCTTGTACGAAGCGTCCCCTTTGGGCGGCGTCAGCTTGGCGGTACGCGAGAGAGGAGGACAAAGTGCATGCAGCCAGGGCCGTTCATTTACCTACGTTCAGTATGCATTGGGCTGGCGGCTGGATCCATGGAATGACGACTTAGGGTGCACAGCTGGGTTCACGCTCTGTCCTAGGCAGTTCAACGACACGTACAACATATATGTAAACAGATAGGAGGATAAGGAGGTGAGGGCAGCTGACGAAGCGCAAACACTGCACGACACCATACACCCTATCACCCGCTAGCTTCACGACCTTGCATTCAACACGTGCATGGACCATGTGACGAAAACGACGACGGTCCCTCAGGAAATAAAAACAGGGCAAGTAGCGGATCTTCTCAACAGGAACTCGGAGTTACTCGCCAGGGCCATCGAGAAGGGAGGGTGGGCGCTGATCCCTGGGAAGGCCAACCACCTACTTTGCCTGGTTGGACAGGGGAGATGTGCTACGACCAGGGGGCTACGTACAATCAATGGGCTACTGGGTACCGCATGGCGGGAGATGCGAATAGTAGGACCCCACCTACCTTCAAACCAGGGACTCGCGGGCGAAATCGGGAGGAGGGGAGAGGTCATGAAGATAGCTGTCAGGCAATGTGGCTGCTTCTGGGGATGTGACATGTCGGACAGAATAAAACTACTCGTCATCATCGCGTTTGTAGTGGGCGCCGTTCTCAGTGGTCTCACGGCATTTGCTCGTCCTTCTCAGTTGGCCAGAGCCCTGGACACTACGATGGCGAAGCGAGCCAAGGAGACATAAGCTGGAGAAGAGAAGACGGCAGAGTCAAATGCAACACCACGAAGCAAGTAGTATTACACTGGGGGGTCGACAGGAGTGCTCGAGACGTCGTAAACAGCTGACGTACGAAACTGTGTGTTCTAGTCGAACCGAATGGCAGACAAGTTAGCAACTACTTAATGGCACAGCACTACCTACTCTTACGTTGCTCACCACCCGCAGTTACTATTTGCAGATTCGACGGGGAGGGGTGGAAGGGTGGCCAAAGTAGAGGGACTACAAACGACGCCACCAATACTACGTAGGTGTGGTTTGGCTCGTCTCAGCTCCTCAGCCTCCCAGCTACCAGTACAGGGACGATGACGCCATGGGACCCTAATCGAGACGGGAGAAGGGGATCGAGAACGCCTCTTAGGGAGAAGGGCAAGGGCAAGGGCAAAAGGAACAGGAGGAGGAGAGGACCATCGACAGGTTCAGGCTCAGGACCAACACCACCGCCGCCACCACCGCCAAAATGTTCAGAGCCTGGGTCGTTATCGAGGGCAGCAAGGGCAGCCAGAAGCAGCGCAGCACAGTCGAGCACACTAGGTTTCGGACTAGACAGGGAGTCGCTGAGGGAGTACCTGCTCGTGGACGGGCCGCCGCCGCCGCCGTTGAACTCAGGGGAGGTGGCATGGGAGGGCACTGTCCAGGCTGCTCGCGCAAGCGGTGCAGATGCAGAGGAAGAAGCTCAGAGGCGCGCTCAGACTGATGAATACCCCGAGCTCGGCCTACAGCATGGGAGGCTACGCCAGCGACGAGGTGAACGACAACCAGGAGGTGCGCTTCTATATGATGGAGTCGATCCGAGCCCAGATCGAATGGACGGGGGAGATGGAGAGATTGCTGCTGGTGGTGACGGGCGCGGCGATCCCGTCCAACGAGCTGGTGAGAGGCCCATGGCGCACGAGCCCGCAGCAGGAGTCGCACTAGGACGAGACAAGAGCGGGCTGGCGGCGAAGGAAGCTGTGCCGAAAAACATGCCAGAGCCTACAACAGAGTCCCAAGGAGCCTCAGGCCCCTCCAGCCTCCGAAAGGCCCAAGATAGACCCGCTTGCCCCACTGGACAAAGACAACGAAAAAGAACTGCCCGAAAAAGATACCGACACCACGGAGATGGGTCAGTGGAAACGGGGTGGGTTACTGTGGGGTACTACTAGGGCTTACCAACAAGGGGACCGTACAGCGCGTCGGGCCGCAAGTGTAAGATCATGCTCAGCCTCAGCAGGTGCAGGGCGCTGCAGGTCAAGACGGACCAAGAGAAGCTCGCCAAGGAGGAGGCCCTGATGAATCTGTCGGACCAGGTGGGCAGCCTGACCACACGCATTACCGAAATGCTGACGGTGAAGGGATTGCTGACGACGAGGCCAGTGGGTGCTGACGCGGAGCCGCCAAGTGGAAAGAGCTAATTACGACGGCATGCAGGCGGACGAGCCCACGTCGAACGAGAAAAGCGTCGAGAGCGAAAAGAAGTCCAAGCAGCAGTTGCCCTGGTGGGATTCAGAGGGCGAGGAGACGTGGATCCCGTACGACTGGGGAGTGAATTGGCCCGAGCTCTGGATCGATTACGAGCAGATCAGCAAGAAGAAGGACGACAGCCAGCAGCCCACGAAGAAGACGCAGACGGCTGAGGGCGACAAGAAGGTAACGACGGAAGAGGAGGTGGAGAAAACCATCGCAGAGTTGCAGAACAAAATCGAGGAGCACAAGAAGAAGCTCCAGAAGAGGGCGGCCTCCAGCGGCGTGGAGGTGGAGGTGTAGGCAGGCCAGGCCCACAGACCCGACAAGCCCCTAGAGGCTAGAGCCCCACAGGACCAGTTAAGAGACAGAGGACCAGCTTTCTACCAGCGGATGACAGGCCCGACAGCTCGGAAAAAAAAGGAAAGAAGAAGGACCAACCCAACCCACAAGTAACAACTCAGACCCCAACTACGATATTATAAATTACCGGATCGGATTTTGGTACAGATACGAGAAGGTCCTATATGGGGTACTGGGGTGGACTACAAACGGATATAACGGGGCAAACTACGAGGGGTTCCGACCTACCACAACTCCCAGTAAAAAAAGTGATGGTCATGTTTCCATGGCCTCTGAGGGCTTGTTTTTCCCGATGTGAGGGGCCCCCCTGAACAGAACTCTCTAGTGTGTTGACTGGTGTGTGTGTGTGTTTGTGTTTTCTTCTCTCCCCCCCTTTTCTGAAGGGTCTCTGGAGGACGCAGGCGGCCTGGCAGAGGCGTGACCTTCGCGCACGCTAAGGCGCGGCCCTCCCGCCTGTCTCTGCCCCTCCCTCGAGTCAGGGAGTGCAGTGTCTTCCCCCCCTCTTGAGCGTGCTGATCTGCCTCACCTGAGGCCAACGACGCCCTCCTTTCTGCCTAGGACGGAGGTCTTTTCTAAGAGGCCCTCCTGCGGCGGGGTACGCCTGCCCCACGGTCTCCGAGTGGGCCAGGCGGCCCCCCAGGCGGTCCTGGGGGGTGCTGCCCCCGCCCCGCTTCCAACAACATCTCTGGGGCCAGTGCCTTCTGCAGCAGGAGACTGCGGGATGCCCCATATGCGCCTTTGCCTTTTGCCTCCTCCTCCTCCTCCTCCTCCTCCTCCTCCTCCTCCTCCTCCTCCTCCTCCTCCTCCTCCTCCTCCTCCTCTCCATCCCCCTCCTCCTCCTCCTCCTCCTCCTCCTCCTCCTCCTCCTCCTCCTCCTCCTCCTCCTCCTCCTCCTCCTCCTCCTCCTCCTCCTCCTCCTCTTCCTCCCCGTCCACTTTCCCCTCCTCGTCCTCCTCATTGACCAAAGTTTCACAGATGGAAGGCAGGTCGTTTCCAAAATGTGGTTTTCGCCTCAGAGCCGCGCACATTCGTTTTATAGCCAGGATCCACTATCCCCTAACAGCGCTGTGTTGTTTGCATCGTAGCGCTCTAATTCGAGGTCGGATCTGCACACATGCACAGGTGCACCGAGACACCCTGCCAGCCGTGTGTAGTCTTTGCGACGGCGCCGTCTGGGAATATGCAGCGCTCGCCGCCGCAGACGCGAGCCAGAAGCGTTACGGCCCTCACGGCGCGTGCCCCTCGCTGGCAGTGGCACTCGGACCCCGCGATCCCGAGCGCGCGCGCGTTCCCCACGCAGCGGCTGCCCCCCACCCCTGGCGCCCCGCCCGCGCGGGGCCTGGCCGCAGACTGGCAGCTATGGCAAGCGGCGGTGCCGCCGCTGCAGGCCCAGGCGAGGGCCACGGGGAAGCGCGCCCGCCTCGGCAGCCCGAAAAGCCGACGGGCCCGTCATCTGTAGCCTGGGCTCTTGCACGCCCGCTCCGGGTCGGGATCTGCGAGCGTCTGCTCGAGAGTCGCGCTGGGGCCAGAGGTCACCGGCGCCTCCAGGCCAGTCACGGCCAGCTCGCACGAGACGTTGTACGTCCAGGGCATGCTCGGCCAGCAGTCCTTGCAGTGAGACACGATGCACCAGCGTCCCTCGCCTCCAGGTGTCCCGCTGGCATAGCACCTGCCGTCCACGAAGGGCAGGTAGTCGTCACCATCTCGATCTCCTGCTTCGAACGTCCTCTCGCGAAAAGGGATCTTATTTCCGGTGAGCGTGAACAACACAATCTGCTCCGTGTTTTTGGACTCCGCCAAGCGCAACAGGAAGAGGTCGAGGTGATCGTTGTTATTGACGGCCAGCATGGAATGATATATGGTGCCCAAGCTCTTCTCGAGATACTCGCGCGGGAGCGCCATCACTTTATCATTGACGCCACCCCACCAACTACAATGCTTGAGGGTGACTTCTCTGATTGATAGGAGCTTCTGCGGCACCACAGGACGCAATGCGATGGTGTCGTCGCGGACCTTTACTACGATGTCGTATAGTTTGCCCCCTGAAGACTCCTCGCTCTTTTTGATAAGATCCGCACAATCATTCAGGTGTCTCATTTGGCCGAAATTGTTGGAAATTGTCGACCTCCGTGAATCTTCTGACATGCTGTGCAAATCTTTGTACAAATGCGGCCACCTCTTCAGGTTGACATTCACGCCCGAATGGTTCTCGAACACTCCATCTCTGAAATACGGTGCAAACGCTGCTCTTACCCCATCCGCGTCCAGCTCCGAACCGCGGCAGGTAACTTCGACGTCTGATGTTGCAGCGTTGAAGAAGTGCCCGTCACCGCCGATCTCCAGAGACAAGAACACATCTACCTTTGTAAACTTTGACAATGGTTCGATTATATTACGGCTCTTGCTCTCAATCTCCAACCGCGACAGTTGGCCCACGATGCACAATGCTGCTCCAAGGCTAGAGTTAGACGCACTCTGAGTGTGAAGGGGATTAATGGGTCTGGGTATGAGCGAGAGAGCAGCTACCACGCTGAGAACAACGGCCACGCCCAGAACAGCCACTGCGAAAAGATTCCCAACACGTCTGCAATGCGCGGCTGCCAAATCATCCTCGACGTGCCCGCCTGCACAGACCAACTGATGCCGATAAAAAGGGACAACAACTTCCGCGTCGCCGTCCCGTGAGTGAGACACGATGCTCTTCCCAGTCATGGCCTGCACGACGTGGTCCAACGCCCGCCCCAGCGAGAATTTGATTTAGCACTGGTCCCTCTCTAGAGCGTAGCAGGCATGAGCCTGCAGCACCCACACACACGTCATGCTTGAGTGACTTGGGCCAGCGGACTTGAGCCAAAATGACTACGGATCCCCTAACAGCGCTTGTGCAGCTAAGGTGGCTCCTCAGAGTGTTCGCGCGCTCTCCTGCTTCTGATCCGCCTTCGCATTCGGCGTCATCGTCTAGCTGTTCGTGATCTTCGTCCTCGTCGTCGTCCTCCTCCTCCGCATTCACGCAGTCCTCCTTCTCGCCATCGCCCTCTCGCTTCCACTACCCCTCCTCTTCCTCCTCCTCCTCCTCCTTCTCCTCCTCCTTCTCCTCCTCCGCCTCCTCCTCCTCATCTTCCTCCTCCTCATCTTCGTCCTCGTCCTCTTCCTCGTTTTGATCCTCCTGGTCATCCTCCCCCTTCTCCTCCCCCTCCTCCTCCTCCTCCTCCTCCTCCTCCTCCTTCTCATCCTCGTCCTCCTCCTCCTCCTCCTCTTCATCCTCATCCTCATCCTCATCATCCGCCTCCTCCTCCTCGTCCTCCTCTTTCTCTTCTTCGTTTTCATCATCAGCGTCATCAGCATCAGCATCGACAGCATCATCATCACCATCAGCATCATTATCATCATCAGCATCATCAGCATCATCAACAGCATCATCATAATCATCATCATAAACATCAGCATAAACATCATCAGCATCAGCATCATCATCAGCAACAGCATCAGCATCGTCAGCGTCAGCATCATCAGCAACATCATCATCAGCACCACCGTCATCCTCATCATCATCCTAGTCATCATCATCGTCAGTATCATCATCACCATCCGTATCATCAGCAGATGCATCATTCTCGGCGGCATCATAAGCAGCATCAACATTGTCAGCATCATCATCAGCATTCCATCAGCATCATCATCAGCATCAGCAGCAGCTTCAGCATCATCAACTGCATCAACCTCATCATCATCAGAAACAGCACCATCAGCATTGTCAGCATCATCAGCATTGTCATCGCCATCAGCAGCATTACCCTCATCATCATCATCATCATCAGCAGCAGCATCATCACCACCACCACCACCACCACCACCATCAGCATCATCAGCATCATCAGCATCAGCATCAGCATCGTCATCAGCATAATCAGCATCATCATCATACTCATCATCAGCAACAGCATCATCATCAGCATCCTCAGCATCAGCACCATCATCAGCAGAAGGATCAGCATCCTCATCAGCAGCAGCAGCAGCATCATGGTCAGCATATTCATCATCATCAGCAGCATCAACATCGTCAGCATCATCAGACACATCATCAGCATCAGCATCATCAACAGCATCTTCATCATCAGCAGCATCATCGTCAGCATCCTCATCAGCATCATCATCAGCATCACCACCATCGACATCATCGTCATCATCAGCATCATCATCAGCAGCAGCATCAGCAGCATCATCAGTTTCCCTCCTTCTCCTCGTCCTTCTCCCCCCTCCTCCTCCTCCTCCTCCTCCTCATCCGCCCCCGCAAGTGCTCTCGGCTTGGGCACACCCCTACCCACACACATTCGAGAACGTAGCCTACCAGCCCTCTTGCACTTCGTGATTGTGTCATGTTCTGCTAAAGTTGCATTGCATCTCACTACTGCATCGATAACATCAGTACGGCGGCCACTGGCCTCATCCATGATGCAGCACGTCTCAGTCTTGCAATACAATCCTCTCTCATCCAGCTGCTCTGCTAGGTTGCAGGAGATGGTCCTCAGAACAAAAGACATGAACTTCGTCTGTCTGAATGGAACCTCAACAAGGCTCGGAGGTTGTCCAGTGGAAGCGTGCAGGACCTACTAGATGGTGTATTTCGCATGGGTGGAAGAGGGGGCCCTACTCGAATCGCTCGGCTGGCTGCGCAATCATCCTAGGCCCTCGGATCCCAAAAACAAAACGTTAAATCGGTATGGACGGCCTCACAAAGCGCTGCTGGTCGAGGCCTCGCACTGCATGTGAAAAGAATACAGTTCGACATCGTTGTGTGCAGCCTGTACGCCTGTACGTTCCTCTTCCTCCCCATCATGCGCGCCAGCTCCCAGCATATCAAAGGACTTGCGATATCCTCATATCGTGGCTACGTACACTACCCATACGGAGCGCGCACTAATGTCTAACAATGGTTTGTCTTGATCTGAATTCAGGCTTTGGACTACAACTACAGGACGGACAGGAGGCATGGCAGCGTATCCAGTCTAAGTGCATCGGCGAGGTCTCTCCCGCAAGACGACAGCGTTATGCAGCAGACGCACTACTTCCGCTACTCGACCAGCTAGATCTCATCCCGATCAGCACGTTCAGAGGAGCCGGACCCACCTTTTACAGCTCGACAGGTTCCACTTCGCAGCTAGACTTCAGCCTTATACCTAGATGCTTGCTGACATCAGAAACAAGTGCAGGGCCTCTCAGAAGATTAGCGACAGAGCTTCAGACTATTCCGTCACGATATCGTCGAGACCGTATTCCAGTTCACGTTCGATTACAGAATTCATTGGAATCTATCCTAGGCCTTGCCACGCATATGATTTCTGTTATTCGACATGGATTTGCATACCAACCCATCAAATGGAACAGAGGAGCATTTATGGAGGCTTTACGAAAAGGAACACATCGCGCGGAATTTCTCAATGCAGCGGAAAGCCGATTGAAAGACGAAGCAGAACAGCATCAACACATTCGACCATAAGAACAGACTCCGAACCATGAATGGGCATATCTCTTGCAAGTGTTAGCACCAGAGGGATAACGATGTTTCACTTCCAGCGTGGAGCCAGCAGAAGGATACAAACAGCGAGCAGATCAAGTACTACAACTACTCCAGCAACGACGGGAACGTCGACATCAGCTATCGGCACTCGCAGAACAACAACCCGATGATGGGACGTCTAACATCGGATGCAGGCCACACGCCACGCCGCCTTGTCGCCACACCCCCGAGCAGGACAGCACGCTTGTCCCTCAAATGAACTCCCAGGGCCCCAGTCCTGACATTGCTCCCTGCAGGAGCTCTCAGAGGCAGCAACCAAAGAACTCCAGAGAGTGGGACCTCAGCCTCGATGAGCGGGAAGCCGAACTATGTGAACAACTCAGAGTGTTAACTTCAGCGACAGCTACGGCGACGACATCTTGTGGCATGGCGAGAAGATGTAACTCAGGAGCTCCTCCAAGCATACCAACAAGGACGTAAAGCAGAAGTGGCGCGCCTTTCCTGATTACTTTCAGCACGAGGAACAGGCCCAAGGAAGAGAAACTACAAGCGAGTTGTATCAGCACGTCCCACTTCGACGGATGTATGGCAGCATCTTCAAAAATCTTGTGGCGAAGGCGGCATGGAGGCCACCATCATCCTCAGCTGGGAAGCTCATGTTGATGCTTATCTCTACGGACCCGAAGGATTGGAGAATGCAGATCTCACCTCGCCGTGGTCACAGCAAGGACTAGATTGAGCGCGCGACAAGCTCGAGCTGATTGCATAACATTTCAGAGTCGCCCCAAAGAGAAAAGCAGCGCCACCATGGTCACTACCCTTGGAATGTGTTTGGATGTTACTTCACCCGTATAGACGAACTTCGCGCAGGTTCAGAGGACTCGGCTACGAACAACCCAAGATCGACCTGCGTGAGACGCGAACGTTCCTCAAATGTATGATGTACAAGATCTACAGAACAAGTGAAGTACCTCTAAAATGGAACTTATCCAATAGCGTAGCTACCAGTGGAGATGATGGGGCAGAACTCAGTCCAAAAAAAAACGTTGGCCTACGAGAAGGTACTCACAACGGAAATGAAGGCGCACAACTACCTGATCAACCCAAGCAAGAACGAGAGCGTGGTGACTGTATTTGGTCCGAGCTCACAGTTGCATCGCAGAAGATTTCGAGACGGACAGCTTCCCTTGGCAGGTCGGTCCCAAGATCGAGCACGACGACTGGGAGGAAGTGTTCGAGCAGACGCTTCTTTTTGCAAGTGAACTTCCATGCAGATATCAGATCGCCCCACCAGTTTCAGCCGAGCTAGCAGATTATCGATGTGCAGTTCCAGGTTGTAACAGAGCATTCCACAGCAAGCGAGAGCTTCTGGCACATCTTCAAAATCACCATGGACTTCGCTCGATATTAGAATTAGCAGTATGTTCAAACCAGTGTTTCGTTTGCGAAAGCGTTTTCGAATCCAGGAACTCGGCCTACAAGCATGCGGTCGAAAGTTTCAAGACGGGTGTGTGTGTGTGTATTCTAGAACCTCGACATACCGGCCCAATGGTCAGTCTACCCTAACATGTCCGCTTTGCGAGGCTCAAGAGGAAACATCTCGGCAGCTTCTCTTCCGCATACGACCGCATTTCACACTCCTACCTGTCGTGGACGATGGAGGCAGTAGTGGCTCACGACTGGTTCATGGCGCCCAAAGGGAAACGCAAAGCAAATGGAGAGCAGGAACAAGCACCACAGGACAAGCTCGGCAGGCTCCAAAAGGAGGTACTCGACAACAAGGAGGGCGAAGGATCGGCACTGGCAGCGTTGATAACTATACTATGCCGCCTCGCATTGCACAACAGTCGCGAGTTAGCAGAGCTCATCGGCGCCCACTACACATGCTATTTGGTTCCGCCTACGGCAGGGCTGGTGGAGAAAATGCAGGCTGCAGGCCACGATTTCAATACCAAAAGCAAGGAGGCAGGCCAAGATCACGGATTGGGACCTCCATGGCCTCACATATTCATGGGACTTCTACACTACCTCGTCAACACGGCGGACAACATCCCAGTCCCCAGCAAGATGACGCTGATGGTCTACTGGAACAACATGGCCAAGATGAACCAGGCGACGGCGCTCCGCACAGTTCACGAACACGTTCGGCTTCTTCGTGTGAGGGGATGCCACCTCGACAAGAAGCAGCACTCGGAGCCCCAGCGGTACAAGTTCCAGCACCTCGTGGCGCCGGCTCTCCAGACCACCAAGATCAAGGATCAGGACACGGAGCTGCCGACTCGTCACGAGGCGGTCGCCCGGGCGGTGGAGGCGCAGGGGGGCAAGTTCAAGCCAGGATCGGCGCCGAGAGGCGCCATGGAGAGGGACGCAGAGAACCTACTGGGCCGGATCGGACTATCCCACGACGCCGTCCAGAAGCAGGTGCACAAGAAATAGCACGGCTGATTACGATACATGGACCTGAACGGGTGGTGAAGATACTGCAAAAAGGATACCTGAATGATGAGGCTCTTGCCCAAATGCAGCGCGCTTCCGCCAGGCCTATATTAGAATACAAAGCTGGTGCTATTTGTTTTGTATGTTTCATCATGTCGGTACCCCTGTGGAGCCCAGTATGGATATGACAACACTGCTTCAGAGATCCTCCAGGGTCGACTTATGAACAGTGACCTCTCACTTTCCTCGGTCGAGTCCCCCTCCCCCTTCCCCCTGCTCGCTCCGCCCCCTCCTCCTCCTCGAATGTCTGAACCCAGACCTGACAGCACCCAGAAAGGAACACACTGTAGGATTGCGACTCCTTAGCTCGCACCTGGAGCTCTCAGGGGATACGAGGTGCCGCTGGAGGGCCACGACGGGGCCCGGTTTTCCCCAAGAGTGGTCCCTCTCAGGCCAGCGGACTCCCCCCGCAGGGCCGCTGGTAGGCGCATTCTCACGCGCTCACAGAGCCATATACATGTCCAAACTCTCATTCGTTGAGGTCGCGAGATTGCCCCCCTCAACCAGCAAGACATCGAACAACTGCCTCGTAAGTGCTCTTGTCTTGTCCTGTCTTCCTCCGCCTCCTCCTCCTCATCCTCTTCCCCCCTCCGTCATCCTCCCCCCTCCTCTCCCCTCCTCCTCCTCCTCCTCCTCCTCCTCCTCCTCCTTCAAGGCGGTCCTAAGCTCAACGGTTTGACTGAATTGGGGGGCGAGCAGGGAGGGGGGGCCTTCTCAGAAGGCGGCGAGACGTCTCAGAAGCCCTCGCGCCTGCTGAGAATTCTGAGAATTGTTCTGTGTCTCCGGGGAAGGCTTAGAAGACTTCTCAGAAGGCCAGGGGACTTCCGAGCCTTCTGAGGAGGCCCGCCCCTTCTCGCTTCCCCCGGGCTCGCCGCCGATGTATAGCCCGGACCGCGACGCGCAAAGCGCAATGACCCAGGCTGTCGCCTGCGCCGCGGCGCGCGCCGCCGCGGAGCCAGGGCGCCACGCGGTCGTGCCTGTGCCGCGCGGAGGGCCGCAAGCGCGCGCAAGCGCGCCTTCCACAGCCGCGCCACGTCGTCCAGGCGGTCGGGGGGCAACCGCTCGCCGGGCGCTGCCAGGGGCGTCCATGCCCCAGGGTGCTCCTAGGAGTTCCTGGGGGGGGGGGGACCCAGCTGGCCTCCAGTAGGCAGCGGGGTGCCGACGCGTGATGCGAAGTTTCCTCCCACTCCTCCTCCTCCTCCTCCTCCTCCCCCCCCTCCTCCTCCTCCTCCTCCTCCTCCTCCTCCTTCTCCTCCTCCTCTCTCCTCCTGCTCCTGCCTCCTCCTCCTCCTCCTTCCTCCTCCTCCCAGTCCTCCTCCTCCTCCTCCTCATTCTCCTCCTCCTCCCCCTCCTCCCTTTCCTCCTCCTCCCTCCCTCCCTCCCTCTCTCCCTCCCTCCCGCCCTCCCCCTCCCTCCCTCCTCCTCTCCTCCTCTCCTCCTCCTCCTCCTCCTCCTCCTCCCTCCTCCTCCTCCTCCTCCACCTCCTCCACCTCCTGCTCCTCCTCCTCCGCCTCCTCCTCCTCATCATCATCCTCCTCCTTCTCCTCCTCCCAGTCCTCGTCCTCCGCCTCCTCGTCCTCTACCTCCTGCTCCTCCTTCTCCTCCTCCTCGTCGGCCTCCTCCTCTTCACATGATTAGCCTTCGTATTATTTTTGTTCGTACTATTGTTATGTTTGATACGACTGTTCGTATTAGTAATCAAACTACTACTACTACTACTACTACTACTACTACTACTACTACTACTACTACTACTACTACTACTACTACTACTACTACTACTACTACTACTACGACGACGACGACGACGACTACTACTACTACTACTACTGATACGGATACTGTCATCATTACTACTCTTAGTATTCGTTACTCTGTCATCATTACTACTATTGTGCCGATTGGTATGGTTATTTTTACTCGTCGCATGACTAGTCTCTTATGACTCGTGGTATTAATTCGTAATACGTAATGGTCGTAATAGTTAAGTTTCTTATTTGTATTAGAAGTATCCGTAGTCCTCTTGTATTATTATCCTGTTTCGTCTAATTATGATTGTTCGTATTACTAGTATTAGTATTAGTATTACTGCTGATATTCATGATCGTCGTCGTCTAGTAGTTCCTCCTCCGCCTCCTCCTCCTCATACTCCCCTCCTCCTCTTCTCCTCATCCTCCTCCTCCTGCTCCGCCTGTTCCTCCTCCTCCTCCTCCTCCACCTTGTGCTTCTCCTCTTATTCCTCCTCCTCCTCCTCGTCATCATCATCAGCATCATCATCATCATCAGCATCATCAGCATCATCAGCATCGTCAGCATCATCATCAACATCATCAACATCATCGTCATCATCATCAGCAGCAGCAACCGCAATAATCATCAGCATCAGCATAGTTATCATCATCAACAGCAGCATCATCAGCAGCATCATCAGCATCATCATCAGCATAACCAGCATCATCATCAGCATCCCCATCGTCAACATCATCATCAGCATCATCAGCATCATCCTCATCATCATCATCATCATCATCATCATCATCAGCATGAGCATCATCATCGGCATCATCAGCATCATCGTCATCGTTAACATCAGCATCAGCACCATCATCATAATCAGCATCATCTCCATTGTCGTCATCATCATCAGTATCATCAGCAGCATCATCATCATCAGTATTCGTTTCATCCTCAGCGTCAGCATCAGTATCGACAGCATCATCATCATCAGCATCATCATAATCATAATCAGCATCCTCATCCTCATCAGCATCAGCATCAGCGTCAACATCATCATCATCATCATCATCATCATCATCATCATCGTCATCATCCTGATCATCATCCTGATCATCATCATCGGCATCGTCATCATCAGCAGCAGCAGAAGCAGCTTCAGCAGCCGCAGCCGCAGCCGCAGTACCTTCGTCCTCAGCAAAATCAGCATCGTCATCATCATGATCGTCAGCATCAGCATCATCATCATCCTTATCAGCATGATGAAGAACCTCATCATCATCAGCAGCAGCATTAGCATCATCAGCATCATCCTAATCAGAATCATCGTCACAAGCATCATCATCACCAGCAGCAATATCATCCCCACCGCCACCACACCCATCAGCATCATCAACAGCATCAGCATCGTCATCAGCAACAGCATCATCAGTAGCATCATCATCACCACCACCACACCCATCAGAATCATCATCAACAGCATCAGCATCGTCATCAGCATCAGTATCATCAGCCTCAGCATCAACATCATCAACATCATCATCAGCATCATCATCATCAGCATCAGCGTCGTCGCCATCGTCGTCATCATCAGCATCATGATCAGCAGCATCATCACCACCATCATCGTCCGCAGCAGCGTCATCGTCGTCGCCCTCATCATCATCATCAGCAGATCATCATTATAGCATCATCATCAGCATCAGCGTCCTCGTCATATCAGCATCCTCATATGCATTATCAATATCAACGTCATCAGAAGCAGCATCATCATCACCGTCATCATCATCAGCATCATCGTTATCGTCAACATCACAATCATCAGCATCAGCATCATCAGCATCGTCATCGGCATCGTCATCATCACCAAATGGTCAGCATCATCAGCAATATCCTCAGCATCATCATCAGCATCATCAGCATCATCAGCATCATCATCAGCATCAGCATCATCAGCATCATCAGCATCACCAGCATCACCATCACTATCATCATCATCATCATCATCAGCAGCAGCATCGCCATCATCATCATCATCATCATCATCATCAGCAGCAGCAGCAGCACCATCATCATCATCATCATCATCATCATCATCATCATCATCATCATCAGCATCATCATCATCGTCATCATATGCATCATCATAAGCAGCAATCATCATCATCATCATCATCATCATCATCATCATCATCATCATCATCAGCATCATCATCATCATCATCAGCATCATCATCATCATCATCATAATCAGCACCATCATCATCATCATCAGCATCATCATCATCATCATCATCATCATCATCATCATCATCATCATCATCATCATCATCATCATCATTGGCATCATCATCATGATCATCATCATCAGCTTCACCATCAGCATCACCATCCGAATCCGCGGAGGCAGCGGCAGCAGCAGTATCTTCATCAGAATCCTCGCCGTCGTCATGATAGTCATCGGTGTCATCAGCGTCGTCATCATAATCAGCATCATCATCAGCATCATCATCTCCATCACCATCAGCGTCGTCATCATCATCATAAGCAGCAGCATTAGCATCATCACCATCATCATCAGCATCAGCATCAGCATCAGCATCATCAGTTTGACTATCATCGTCGTCGTTATCATCATCATCATCATCATCATCATCATCATCATCATCATCATCATCATCATCATCATCATCATCATCATCATCATCATCATTATCATCGGCATCATCATCACCAGCATCATCATGATCGGCATCATCATCAGCGTCATCAGCATCATCATCGTCATCAGCATCATCATCACCTTCATAATCATCATCGCCATCAGAATCATCATCATCACCATCATCATCATCAGCAGCAGCATAAGCAGCATCATCATCCTCATCCTCATCCTCATCCTCATCCTCATCCTCATCATCATCATCATCATCATCATCATCATCATCATCATCATCATCATCATCATCACCATTATCATCATCAGTATCATCATCATCCCCTCCTCCTGATTCCTGATTCCTGACTGCTGGAAGATCCTCCAGATGTAGCCCTCATCCCTCCTCCTCATCCTCCTCGCCAGATTCGCATCGCGTGACGGATCCGAGCTGCCAATCCAGAGCACTCCTGACGAGGCACAAAGGTTCCCAGGGGCTCAGGGAGAGCACAAGAAGCTAGGGGCACCCTGGGCCAGGAGCACCCTTGAGAGCCCCCGAGCTCGAGCTCGCCGCGGCCGGAGCGCTCGAGGTGCCGCTTGACGGCGGACACGATCTCAGCCTCGGGCGCGGCAGCCGGATGCCGCGTCCACCCGTCCTCCCCAGACATCCCTGGCGCCTCCAAGAATCGGGGCGGCCAGTGTGTCGCCGTGCTTCTTGGCGGCGAGCCCAGGGGGAAGGCAGAGGGGGGCGTGCCTTCTCAGAATGCTCAGAAGGCCTCCAGCCTTCTGAGAAGCTCTCTGCGCCTTCTGCGAGGACACAGGCGGCTTCTCGCAGGGCGCGAGGGCTTCTGAGCAGCGCTGCCGCCTTCTGCGGAGGCTCGCCCCTCTCTCTCTCTCTCTCTCTATCGTCCCCCAGGCGCCACGCGGAGCTCAGCCTCTGGAGGCGGGCTTGGGGCCTCGGGGCCGCCCAGATCGGCTCGGGATGAAAGAGTGGCCCTGGCTGTGGTGCAAGCCATCGCGGCGACTCTTGCACTCTCGACGCGCGCCCTCACAGGCCCCCCGAGGCTGGGAAGCCGAGTGGGTCGAAGAGGTCCGGAGGCCCTCGCATCGAGAAAGCAGGAGCGCCAGACGTCTGGGCCTCGCCCGGGCGTCCCCCTCCCTCCCGGACGCGGGGTCCCTCAGCGCCCCCGGCCCACTCTCTCGAGGCGAGGGCGTGCGCCGCGAAACCCGACGGAGAGGGCCCCGCCTTGGGGGGGGAAGGGGGGCAGCTGGGCCAAGGCTCTCCCGGTGGAGGGGGGGGGACAGGCCAAACGACGATTGACCAGCAAAGGACCCCCAACCCCTTTCTAGGGGACCCAGGCTACGAGGGCCAGGAGCATTGGGGATAGGGGGTCCTGTCTGCAGGCGCAGCGAACCAAATCGCCCAGAAGTATTAGCCCCACTGCGAAGACGGGGACCTCAGCGAGGCTACGTCTTCATCGTGCTGTTAGGTTCAGGGGCCCTTTGATCCTCAATGAAACGATGCTGGCCTCCCGTCCTGAGCGTTGCATCTTCGGGGGGGCCTCGTCTCTCCCGTCGAGCAGGAAGAGCCGTGCACTGCGGGTCTGCACGGGAGCGACCCAGATCCAGGGGATGCCATGCGCGATGAAGTAAGTCACTGTCGGTGGTCCAAAGGGTGGCTATTGCCGTCCCGCGACTATGACTTAGCATTTCCACATGGTTTTGATGCCGAGGAGCTGCATGAGAACGGCAAGACAGATGCGAGTGGACCGACAAAACGAATGGACAGAAACACCACACAAAAAAAGCATGTGTTGCCAGCGCCTTTGCTGACTCACGACACATCGGCCCACGGGAAAGACGGCCCCTGTGAGAATTTATATTGACGCCCGGTGAAGGCAAGTCGCTGGCACAGACAGGCTACGGCCAACCCGACGGCGAGCGATCCGCGCAAAAAAGAGACGAGAGGAACTGCATTTTGGAGACCGTCTCTTTCAATCGGCGAGAACCCGGGTTATCCCCGGGGGGGGAAGAAGAGGGCCGGCCGATAACCTAACCTTCGCGCTGTGAGCAGCCCTGCATATGCCCGCGCCCCCCCACCCCGGACCTGCACAACCGGCAAGTTCAGGTTATTCTTTGGGGGGAAGGGGGGGCAAGCCCGATAACCCGGGTCATCGCCGGACCCTAAAAAAAGCAGTCTCCTGAATACCCACGGAAAGCGCAGACGGTCCAACGACCCTGCGAGACGACCCATCTCCACGGCGCAAACAGGCGCGAGCAGGGGCCCCAGCGGAGCCCAAAAAGATCGCGAGAGATCCCGGGCAGGCTCTCGCAAGGCCCAAGTCGTCAAGGCAGATCAAGACTGGTCGAAGGGCCCAGGGAGGCCCCTCGCTCCGCAAGAGGAGGCGGAGGGCGTGAGAAACTACGGCGACAGAGCGCAGGAGAGAATTGGCAGATCGGACAAGGCATGACTGCAACACACGTCAGACTCCAGGGGTTGGTCATGTAATCGGGAAATTGCGCTTCCAACCAGCATCGAGAGAAGCCCCTCTTGGCTGAGGCCGCCAAGATGAAAAGCGCAGGTTTCGATCGTGCGCTTGCTCTACCATTAGGTCGGGACTGTCCCCCACAGGCGGATTTTGGACGAAGAATCAAAAATACCCCAAATATGCTCGAAAAAACTCAAAATTTGTCGAAAAAACGCCCCCAGACTATTTTTTACTATTTTCGAATATTCCTTCTGTAGAGGGGCATGCCCGACTGAACTCTACCACCCTGGCTCGCCCAAGATTGCCCCCAAAAGGCCGTCGGACAGTCCCGGGGCCGCCTCGGGCAACTTGCCAGCTGTCGGGCAGATGGCCCCCAGACCGTCCGAAGACAGCCCACGAAACCCCGAAGACGGTCCCAACATATTAGGGGGCCACATGCGAACCCTACCCCCATCCCCCACACCCTCCCCTTCAGAAAACGTGGGGGGGGGGCCCCCTAGAAATCTCCCGAGATCGCTCCGAGACGTTCTGAGCTGCCTTGATCTGGCGCTGCCACCCCAGATCGACTGCTTCCGGCGGCCCCAGGTAAAGGGAAATTAGGACACACTAATAAATACACACAAATAAAAATATTCCCCATATTTTCCCATATTTTCTTGGTTTTTGTCTTCCCAACCACTTCCCATATTTTCCCACATTTTCTGGGGAATCGAGGATTAATTGTGTCTGTGTGTTTCTTTTCCTCTTGACCAGGGCTTGAGGCGGCCCTGCGGAGGCCGAGCCTCGAGCCTCGAGCCTCGCGCCCCCGAGCTCGAGCCCCGAGCCTCGAGCCTCAGCACAGGGGCCGCCCGGCCTGCGGCACGAGCCGGTTGGCGCTCCAGCCGTTCCTCGTGAACGGCATGAACTCCAGGAAGCGCACCTGGCCGCAAAGGGTGGCGAGGAGAAAAACAAAAGCCCGAGCAATCAGGGCAGCGGGTCGCGGCGACCTCGGCAGTGGTTCCCGAGGCCGCGCGGATCGCCAGGCAACCACAGAGGAGCCCTACCCCTGCAGGTCAGAGCTCAGAGAAAGTGGCCAGGGGTCGGAGCTCGAAGGGTGTCTGCAGCCTGGTGAACCCCAGCGGGTGCGTCCGATACTCCAGCGTCGACTGAACCCGCAGGAGTAGGGGTCGCAATTGCTTCCTGGATGGCTCGGAGAGAGCCCAGGAGGGTTTCAGCTCAGAAGCTGGCAGCGCAGGGTAGTCCTGGAGCTCGTGGAGCTCGTTCCGGCTCGCAGCACCTCCTGTGAGGCTGCAGGCAGCGTGTCCCGGAGGGCCTGTCCTAACTGTTTCCCAGAGCTTCTTTCCAGAGCTTCCAGAGCACCTTCCAGAAGCTCCTTTCCAGAGCTTTGTTCCAGAGCTTCTTTCCCAAAATTTCCAGAAGCTCCTTTCCAGAGCTTCCAGAGCACCTTCGAAGGACCTTCCAGAGCGCGGCTCCCCGACGGCTCGATGGGGTGATGAATCGAGTCTCTGAGATCCGGCGGCTCTGGAGGATGCACCCGGCGCTGCGGCCTTCTCAGAGCGTGCCGGAACGCTCGGAGGGCGTGCCAGAGCGCTCTGGAACGGACTGGTCCTCGTCCTAGCCCCGTCCGATGGGGGGAGGTGAGAGGGGGCAGGCCTTCTCTGAAGGCGGCGGGGCTTCTCGGAAGTCTTCGGGACCTCTGAGAAGCCCTGCGTGGCTCCGGAGAGAGCTCGGAAAGCTGTTCGGAAGGCCGGAGGCCTTCTGAGCCTTCTGAGGAGGCCCGCCCCGTCTGCCTTCCCCCCAATGGGCGCGCCGCCGACTCCAGGCCAGGGACCGGGGCGAGGGGGGGAGGAGGGCTCGGACTGGGGAGGGGCCCTGGGCCGGGCTGCGGCCAGGCCGGGGTCGTTGCCGCGCGGGCCCTGGCCAGGCTGTGGCCTGCCCGTCCCCCGCCCTTCCCCTGCCGGCGCGCTGCGGCGCTCGCTTCCCCGGGCGGGGCGTCGACGGGGGCAGGAAGAGGAGCGCAGGACCCGCCTGGACGACGGGCGGATCGACCTGGCCCTCGGCCGCCCTGGCCCCGCCCCGCCCTCGGCCGCCCCTGGCCCTCGACCTGGTCCTCGGCCGCCCGCCCTCGGCCGCCCCGCCCCGCCCCGGATCGACCAGGCCCTCGGCCGCACCGTGCCCCGATGCCCGCCCCGCAGGTGTGGAATGCGGATACGGGCTTCCCCTCGCAGGCACGCCGCCACCGCTCCGCGTGAAGGCGGCGGATCCCATGGACGGGAGCACTGAAAAGCATTCCCCGAAGAGGCTTCGAAGAGCATCTGGGATCGTAGCCGTGCCAACCAGGACGGCAGAGTTGCGGCCTGAGGCGCTCGTCGAGGATTCCACACCATAAGCCCACACACCCAGCGGTCGTCTTGGATCTGGTGGGGGGCATACTGCGAGGCAGTTCAAAGGCAAGGCCCCAGGGGCCCAGGCTAAGAGGACCATCAAAAGAATGGTAAGGCGCTTACTTCCTCGAGGCTTGAATCCCAGCCAGGTTTCTTGCGTCGGCCTGATACTGTCGCCTCAGATATTGCGGCTCTCGGCTGTGGGGCTCCAGGGCGTCGGCAAGAGGAAGGAGGCGACGAGGAGGCGAGGGGAAGGAGCAGGAGGAAGAAGAGGCGAAAGAGGGGAAGGCAGGAGAGAGGGGGGGGGCGAATGCTCCAGTTCGAATTCGGCTGGAGGGATCCAAGGCGTCGGCAAGAGGGAGGAGGCGACGAGGAGGCGAGGGGGAGGAGCAGGAGGAAGAAGAGGAGAAAGAGGGGAAGGCAGGAGAGACGGGGGGAGCGGATGCTCCAGTTCGCACTGGGAAGCACGCAGGAGCGAGCCCACCAGCCTGAAGCATCGGCCAGTGGAGTCTCGATCCGCAGAGCGGGTGTCCCAGGAATGTACGCCACCACCGCCTCCGGTCCCCCTCTCTCCTCTGCCCTTCCCCTCCTCTCCTGTCCCAGGAGTGGGAGGCGAGGGAGGTCGTGGTGGTGTATATTGAGCATCGTTTATCCGATCCCTATCCCCAGCGGCGTGGCCTGGGCCCCACTGGCCGATTTACCCCCCTAGATGGGGATATAGGCCGTTCCCTTCAGGTTTCGAGAGGTGTATCCCCAACTGGGGGGGCAACTTGGTGGGGGTCTCGAAGGGGATGGGGATAGGGATTGGGGTCGGTTGATCGATACTGAGTATAGTTCTGGGCCCGTATACAGAATGCACGAGAACAAAGACGTCTTACCAGCGGTCCCTGGCTCTCCCAAGATGTGACACGGACCGGAAGAAGCAAGGCACCCTGGCAGACAACGCGTTGCGCGTCTAGCCACTGCTGCATCCGCATCGCTCGACGCTTTGTCGACGAAGGTGCTCATAGATGCCTCTGAGACGACAGGAGCCATCTCGCATAACTGCTTTGCCTCCATCCTTAAATCAACCCGTGATGCCACGCAATGGTTGATTAACTTAATGCACGAACGCGTGTCCTCTGTGTCGCTGTGCTTGGAGAGGCGCGAAAGCACTTCGCTGAGTAGCATCACCGAGCGGACCACCAAAAACCCTCCTGGACTGCACCGCCAGCGGCGGACTGAATGGCCGAGACTAAGAAGACAAATGCCCATCCTCCTCCCCCCCTTCGCCTTACGATTCCTCCTCCTCCTCCTCATCCTCGTCGTCCTCATCAACATCATCATGCTCAGATTTGTCGTCTTTCATATCTCCATCACAGTCATCGTCACCGTCGCTATGTCGTCCTCATCATCGTCGACACCATCGTCCTCATCATTACTACCAACATTATTGTCGTTACCATGCTCCTTCTGGCTTCCAGCTCACATACTTGTTCCTCCTCGTCCTCCTCCAGTGTCCTCCTCACGCTCATCGTCTTCATGATGCTCCTGTCTCTGAAGCTGGCGGCAGTCTCGTCCCGCGCTCGGGACCGATGCCGTCGGCCGCCCTGGACAATCTTCAAGGGGGGCCTGTACAAACCAGGCAGCAGTAGTGCAAAGGGTGAGGGGCAACCATCGGGGCGGACTGCATCGGGGGGACACATCGACCTGGAATCAGCGAGAAATTGCCGATAGATCGGCGATAGGCCCTCGATCGTGAATCCGCACGTTCCTGGGAAGGTTGAGGCGATCGGACCCTTATCGGCGATCCATGGGCGATTGGAGGGTCGATGCATCCCTCTTATGCCTATCCCCCCCGATCCCTGCCCCTGAAAGGGGGAGAGGAGAGGGGAACGACGACCACGGCGGGGACGCGACTGAAGCGAAACAGGAAGTTTGGTGAGGGGCCTGTGGCGGTGCGCGGTGGGCCGGCGAGCGCGACGACGGTTAGCGGCGCGCATAAAGGGGTGGGGGAGGGGGGACGACTTCTTGGAAGAGGGCTGCTTCTTACAAGAAGCCAGCCTTACGTCTACAGCTACAGAGAAGGCCCGAGCCTTCTAAGAAGTCGAGGTGCTTCTAAGAGGCCTTCCCCCCTGCCCCTACACCCCCCTTGCGCGTGGCCGAGACGGGGGAGGCGACACCGGTACAGAGAAGAGAAAAGGAAAAAGTCAGCACAAAGCCCCCGGCGAACATCCAACGCCATGGGGGTCCAGCGCCGATGTAAAACAATCCGCGCGGATCTCTGCGAGTTTATGTTTATGCTGAGTGCTCTTCTGCGACCTTCCCCATGGCCCAACTTCTCATCCCGAGCCGATCTTTGACGGCCCCGGGGGGGCCGTGGAGCGACCCCTGGAGACCCGAAATCGACGAGGAGAACCTGCAGCCCTCCTCCTCCTCCTCCTCCTCCTCCTCCAACTCCTCCTCCTCCTCCTCCTCCTCCTCCTCCTCCTCCTCCTCCTCCTCCTCCTCCTCCTCCTCCTCCTCCTCCTCCTCCTCCTCCGTCGTCTGCAGAAGAAGATGCCGCCGAGACTCCCGGCGCCGTGCGCCTCCACGGGGTGCTGCTCCGTGAGGTTCACGAAGCCGCCGATCTCGTCCTGCGCTGGGAGCGCGGCGCGCTCCGGGCCAGCACGCCGCGCTGCCCCAACTCGGCCCTCGGGAGCCCGAGCTTCCTGCGGGGAAGGAGGAGAAGCAGAGGAGGAAGGATAAGGAGAAAGAAGAAAGAAGAAGGAAGTGGAGGAAGAGGCAGAGGAGGAAGGGAATGATGATGATGATGATGATGATGATGATGATGATGGTGGTGACGAAAATGATGATGAATGTGAACATGAATACGTATATGAAGATGATGATGATGCTAATGATGATGATGACAATGACGATGACGATGACGATGACGATGACGATGACGATGACGATGACGATGACGATGACGATGATGATGATGATGGTGATGATGATGATGATGATGATGATGATGATGATGAGATGATGATGCTGATGATGATGATGATGCTGATGCTGCTGATGCTGCGGATGGTAATGATGATGCTGATGATGATGAGAATGATGATCACGATGATGATGATTATGATGATGATGATGCTGATGATGATGATGATAATAATGATGATGATGATGATGATGGTGATGATGATGGTGGTGATGGTGATGGTGATGGTGATGATGATGATGATGATGCTGCTGCTGCTGCTGATGATGAGGAGGAGGAGGAGGAGGAGGAGGAGGAGGAGGAGGAGGGGGAGGAGGAGGAGGAGGAGGTGGAGGAGGAGGAGGAGGAGGAGGACTACGAGGAGGAGGACGAGGAGAAGGAGAAGGATGAGCAAGGAGAATGAGGAGAAAGGAGGAAGGAGGAAGGAGGAAGGAGGAGGAGGAGGAGGAAGGAAGGAGGAAGGAGGAAGAGGAGGAGGACTCCGTGGGCGCGAGGGCCCACGCCCTTGTGCAGCACCTTCTCGAAGATGTGTTCACTGATCGGCTGCCGCCGCTGTGGAGTCACCTGGCCTGCCCGCCTCACCAAGCTCGCGGCGCCCTGCACTGGCAACCTGCCAGATGTTGTTGTTCAGCGGGCCAGAGGTAGTGAAGAGGGACCATCGATGAAGCCCAGATCAAGTCAAACGTCCTCCGAATCGGTGCCTGGGCAACTCCGTGGAGCACACCAACGGCAGAATTGAACATTCATACGACATCTGGGAAGGCTGGGGCTTGACTGGGATACGCATGCGGCACAAATGTCAGTGAGACTGGGCGACCAACGCCAGCCCAAGAAATCCGCGCTGACCTCCGGCAATGTATGTTTATGCCGTTGTTGTTTCTCTTCCGTCATGCCCCCCAGCTCCTGCGCCTCTCTTGAATGCTCGTTTTGGGGACCTTCCTGGAGCCTTTCGCTCCACTCGTGCGTCGAAGCTGCGTCGAACGTCCGTCGATGTTGCGTCGACCCTGAGTCGAACCTGAGTCGAACTTGAGTCGAACCTGAGTCGAACTTGAGTCGATCTGGGGCCGAGTCGAAAAGATCCGCTTGATGGGCCCCAGGAAGGTCCCCAAAACGAGCGTCTGACCTCTCCTCTCCTCCTCCTCCTCTCCTCCTGCTCCTCCTCCTCCTCCTGCTCCTGCTCCTCCTCCTCCTCATCCTCCTCCTCCTCCTCCTCCTTCTCCTCCTCCTCCTCCTCTTCCTCCTTCTCCTCCTCTCCCACTTCGCCCCTTCCAGACAACAAACATTCGACATCGGTGAGCGCACGGAGACGACTGGGCCAGCAGGACGCCAGGCGGCTGGCAGCGGCGCCCACCCCGGGGCAACAAGAGCGCGAGCCCGCCTCGTTGACGCCTCGGAGCAGCACGCAGTTCAGCTTTAGCCTGAAGTGATCCTCCTCGCGCCAAGAGGCCACAGACAGAGAGGCAACTCCTGAGAGGTCTTCGTGGGAACGATGGAAGGGCCCATCTAAGCCGTATTACACCTGATTAAGCCCAGGATTGACTTGAATGGGATTGAGCTGGATGAAGCAAGACTGGGCAGGAGTAGGACAGCTGTCTCGACCGCTGATATACAAGCGCCAATGCTGAGTTGAACCTCCAGGGCGTTACGACCGAGCAAGGGAGGGAAGCTTCCATCTCACGCTCCTCCCTCGCTGTTCATCCAGCCGCCACTCTGGAATCACAGAACTGCTCGCTTTCACAGCGCCAATGTACACATTCGCGTCGAGCCGTAGGCACTCAGTGGACTGTCCACAGGTCCCTTCGAGTTCACCGTCTGGTATTGTAAATACGCTTTGTAGGGCCAGAGCCCCAATTGCTGGATCTCTCGGGGCGGGTCGCGTAACTTTTCCGGAGGCCTCGGGAGAAGCTCGGGCCATGCATTTCCAGCATGCTCCAAAATCGCACCTCAGGCCCGTCCTGGTGCCCTCTTGGGGCACTATAGACCCGGCTTTTGAGCCTGAGGGGCTGGCCTAGGAGGCCTAGGATGTTCGGGTGTTTTAGCAATCACTCGCACATCCGCATTTCTGCCTCGAGATTGTCCAAAGAGGACCCCTAATATCGCACCCGAACGGCGCAAGGACCCCCAAGAGGCCCCCACGGCGGGCCTAAGACAGGAACTCTCAAGAGACCCTGGAAGGTCCAAAAGAGACCCCCAAGTGGCCCCCACGAGGCCCACAAGAAGCCCACAAGACGCCCCCAAGAGGCGCCCGAGAGACATCCCAATAGAACCCAAGAGGCATCCACGAGGCCTCTCGCCCACGACGCATGCACGGTGGCAGGATGCGCCGAACACTAGATACTAGAAAACAACGTTCATACAACATCGCATGGTAGCCATGGCTAGCGATCGAGAGCGGCGGTCAATGAACGAGTGCATGTCAGTACCGACGCACGCGCCTGCGTCCGCTGGCGCTGCCGATTAAAGCGTGTGCATGATGTGGCGGTTTAGTGGTCGACACTGTCCGTTCCTCTGCGGCTCACTTCTTCGATCACGCTGCCACATCAGGCGGTCAATTGCCCTTGTGCGCAACCCGTCGTAGTGGCCATGGGCCCACGGGGGGTGGCGCGAGGGGGCGGCCTCCTGCGCAAGCGGGGGACCTTGTCAACAAGGCGGGGGACTTCTTGGAAGCCTCGGGGCCCTTCTGAAAAAGCCCATGCCTTCTTGGAATCCCTCCGCCTGCCTGGAAAGCCGCCCCTCTCGCGCGACTCACTTGTGCGTGAACACATGTTGGTTGGGCGTATACGGCGTAGACTGCTGCCAGCCGGCGGCGGCGGCGACGGCTTCGACGACACCGCAGACGACGACTTTCACGGCGCCGCAGACAACATCGACGGCGCGGCAGTTGATAACGACGACGACGACGCAGACGACGACGACTACGACGACGACGACGACGACGACGTTGACGTCTCCCGCGGACACCGACGTCGGCGAAGCCGACGACTCGGACGACGTCGGCGTCGTCGTCGACACCGACGGTGGTGCCGACGAAAACGTCGTCGCGTGGCATCGTGGCGCGGGCTGGGCATGCTGGGCACGTGCTGGCCGTGCTCCAAGAAGCCGCACGCTCGGCGGGCAGCTGTGGGGGGGGGGGGACACCGTGAGCGCCGCTGGTGGCTGGACAGCAGCCCCTTCGAGAGGCGGCCTCCTTCGGCGGTACGGAGCGACCCCGGGCAAGCAGGACCTGTGGTGCGCGGCTCGCCGATCGCTGCACGCGATGCGGCAGCAGCGGCCTCCGTGCTTGGGCTCGGACCCCCCGCGCGCCCCGAAAGCCGCGCACCAAAGAGGTCACTCTGGCGAAGGGTCACTCCTCCGTGCAGCCGCTTCCTGCAGCCGCCGACCCCTGCGGCGAGCGGACCCCGACTGGGAGGGGGGCAGAGCGGACGACGAGACGAGGCAGGGCGAGGCCGATCAGGCGGGACGGCAGGACGAGGCAGAAGGGGGCGGAACGGGGCGGAACGGGGCGGAGGGGGCGGAATGACGGAATGAGACGAGACGAGACGGCTGCGCAGCGCGCTGCCCCCCGGTGCCGCCATCGCTGGCCTTTTTCCGGGCGGAGAGGAGCCCCGGCGAGTCGGCACGCGTGACAAGCAGCCCTGGAGGTGCCTGCTCCGCGTCGGTCTCGGCGCGCCGACCTCCCCCTTCCCACGCCCGGCGCGCTGTCGGGCACACGCGTTTGGCACGCCTGGGCTGTGAAGCGCAATCCCACCAGCCCTCCGGGCGCAGGTGGTCTAGAGCGCTTCCTTTTCTGGCCACCTTCCTTTCCCTGCTCGGGAGGTTTACCTCTCCCCCCCTCCCTGGGTCTGGACGGGCTCCCCCGCGAGGGGGTAGGGCGTCCAAGATAGCCCAAGATAGCTTCAAGAGGGCTTTAGCTAGCCAAAGATGGCCTCCAAGATCATCCAGGATACTTCAAGATAGCCTGCAACACGCATCTAAGAGGCCTCAAGACGGCCCCAGGAAGGTTTCAAGTGCCCTCCGAGCCCTCCAAGGACCCCCCAAGGCCAAGATGGGTTCAAAACCCTGGAAAATCATTGTGTTTTGACTTTTCGCTTTTTCGCTTCCTGTGGGCTCTTAAGGCGTCAAGATGGCCCCAAGATGGCCAAACGTAGCCCCAGAGAGGCCCAAGAGGGCCCCAGGACGGCCCTGAGAGCGCCCAAGAGCGCCCCAAGAGCGGTCCAAGAGGGCCCCAGACCTCCGAGGGGGGACGTAAATTTAAGACTCCCCTCCTTCTGAGCGATGGGGTCCAAGACGGCCCCAAGAGGCCTCCTGGACCCCCCAAGAGAGCCCCAAGAGGGCCCCAAGACCCTTCATAAAAAAACCCTAGAAGGTCCAAGACGGCCCCTGGAGGACCCCACGAGGTCCCCAAGATGACACCCAAATGGCATTACGAGTCTTCGAAGAACCCCTCACCACGACATATGCCCAAAGCCCGACTTCTCGTCCTCCTTGTCATCGTCCGTTCCTTCCTTGCTGTTTTCCTGCCGCTTCCCTGCTCCTCTTCATCCTCCTCGCACCGCGTTCCTCCTGCTCCTCCTCCTCCTCCTCCTCCTCCTCCTTCCCTGCCTCCTTTTCTGGTGTTCCTCTTTTTCTTCCTCCTCCGTTTCCTCCTCCTCCTCTTCCTCCTCCTCCTCCTCCTCCTCCTCCTCCTCCTCCTCCTCATCCTCCTCTTCCTCCTCATCCCCCTCATCCTCCATACTCCTCCTCGTACCCCCAAGATGGCCCCAGGCATCATCAGCACCAGCAGCACCACTTGCCCCAAGATCTCTCCAAGAGGGCAATAGAGCACCACAAGCAGCAACACCAGCAGCATCACCACCACCGCCACCACCACCACCACCATCACAAGCAGCCGCAAGCGAATTTAAGATAAATTTCAGCGGGGGGCGGAGATCAAGGATGCTTATGGGGATGCGATTTTCAACTGTACGACACGGGCGACGAATGACATATACAGTCACCTACGCCAGAGACGCGCACCACAGGGAAAAGCCCGGCGTATCTTGCACCAATGTCCATCTTAAACGTCGCTGCGGGAAGCTATGTGTGATCTTTGTTTCTCATCGCCCAGGGTGGATACAGCCACCTGCGCAAAAGATGTTTACCACGGGGAACACCACGTCGTACCTTTCACCGATATCCATCTTAAAATTCAATGCGGGAAGCTATGTGTGATCTTTGTTGTTCTGAAGACGACCGCGGAACTGCATGCTTCCAGCTGTCCCTGATTGACCAACTCCCCTGCTGATCGTTTCTGGATGGGCTGGTGGGGTTTTTGTTGATCGCGACCGCGGCGAGAAACAGGTCGGGCGGCGTCAGGGCACTGCTAACGAGCAACGGCGTAAATTAGCGCAAAAGAAGAAGAAAAAGGGAGAAAGAGGACAAGAAAAAACAGGGGAAGAGACAAGCAGAAGGCGAGCCTCGCTGCCACTCAGGAGGCGTACGCCAGGAAGAACATCTGGACGACGTGCAGCACCAGGTGGTAATTCAGGGAGCCCATCACGTCCCTGACGAGGAGGACCGCCGGCAAGACGAACAGCAGGCCCAGGTGAAGACGGGGGATGCGGCACCTTGACAACGAACCATCGACCCAGAGGAAAGACGGGCCATGCAGGCGCTCGACGGAAGCGTTCCGGATCGCAAGACACCGAAGGTGTCGAAGGAGCGACAAGGGGGTCCCGACCGGACCGCGCTGCCAGAGGCAGAAGGAAACGGCCAGAGGGCCGGCGGAGGGCGGCGGGGGGCGGAAAGCGGCTGGTGGGGATAGTTTTGGTCAACAGGCTCGCGAGGCGGGTCGAAAGCCGTCCGAACACTAGTCGGGCTGCGACTTGGCAGCAGGAAAAGAGGAGGCAAGCGAAGCGAGCGAGCGGGCAGCCACTCAGTTGGTCGGGATACGCGAAGCGTCAAGAATTGAGTATACACACACGCCAAGGTATGCTGGCCTTCGCCCGCATCATAATGTACACTACTTGCCCGCCACCTCACGCTGGAGAGCCGTCCCCGAAGAACGTCCACTACTCTGCGCGCGGAGGCGGCTACGAACAAGGCAATACAGTCAAGCGTGTACTAAGGACAGGTGGCAAGAACGCGAGACCCTTGGAGGACGAAGCTGCGATTTTTGGGGCGGCGGGCGACCAGCGACAACGGCAAAGGACGGGTTGCAGAGGCAAGGACACAAGGGCACCCTAGACGAAGGCACGCGTCCTTACTGGGCGCGTTGACTGTACTCCTCCACGCTGCAGGACAAACGGCGGCCTCGGGCCCGCCTTCGCGCGCTCTGCGCGCTCCGCCGCCCGGCCGCGCCCAGACGGGCGCTGCCGGCACGCTCCGCGTCAACCTATGCACGGCAGGCGCGCTCTACGCGCTCCGCCGCCCGGCCGCGCCCAGGCGCTGCTGGCACGCTCCGCGTCAGTCTATGCACGGCAGCTCCCCGATCCCGTCGAGGATGGGCAGCGGGAACCACAGGAGCGTCTTGCCGACGACGCCCGCCGGCGGCGGCTGCAGCGCCACCTCGCTCGGGGAGGGCGCGGGGTCCGCGATGTTTTTAGTGTGCATCCCTGCGCTGCAGCCTCCAGGGTTTTTGCTCGAAGAAGGCGCGTCTCGCCCCAAGAAGGCTGCGGCCACCAGGTGCCAGGCGTGTAGCGCTGCTTGCCACGGTCATGTCAGTCCGTCGGGTCGAGGCCTCGGCCCCTTACCCACGTGGCAACCTCTTGTCCCGGATCCTCTGACCTCTTCTGGGCAGCTGCCTTCCCTCCCAACCCGTCCGGAGGGGGCGTGCGCTGCGTCCTCCCTGGCAGCGCTGGCGCCAGCGGAAAGAGTGCGCAAGGCGTGACCCCCAGTGGCGCTCGCTTTCCGAAGAGATGCGCCCAGGGCAGGCTGCGAGCAGGCCGAAGGCAAGCTGGAAGGACAAGGCGCGACGAGCAAGCTGAACAGGCAAAAAAAGTCGAGGTGACAGCATATAGAGGTGAGCAAAAGCGCAAGATGTAGACGAAGCTTTGGCTACGTAGTGAGGCAAGCTATACTGGGTATAAGCAAACGCATAGCAGACAATACAAAAGGCAAGCTGAATGCAAGCGAACCGTGAGATTCGAGCAAGCCAAGGACGAGCTGGCCGCAAGTTAAAGGCAAGCTGAAGAAGCAAGCTGAAGAAGCAAGCTGAAGAAGCAAGCTGAAGAAGCAGAAGCAAGCTGAAGGATAACACAACTCGAAAACCATAGGCACGCAAATGCGAATTCGAAAGGCAAGCTCAAGGTCATGCATCCTCAGGGAGCTGGGGCGTGCAAATGGGGTGCATCCTCAGCTAGCTCCGGGGCCCAAATGGGCGTATCCCTGGGTTTGGATGTCGCATCCTTAAGGATGCAGGGAGAACAGGGCGGGCAAATGGAGGGCGCATTTCTGATGATGGGAGGCGCATCTTTGGGGAGCCAGGGGAGACGACACCAACCATCTTCCGCAGGGAAGTGCCTCGATTCCTTTTTCGGGCGTCATCAGCTGACAACCTCGCCGATCCTGGCCAGTCCCATCCTGGGTCCAGGAGCCTGACCAGGACCAGTGAGGTGGTCAGCTGACGTCGCTCGATTCCTGTGGGAGGCGAAGAGAGAAGGAGAGGGAGAGAGAGTGAGAGAGAGAGAGACTACAAGCAACCTGAAGCTACGTGAGATCGGCCACCGCGCCGAGATCACCGAATGGAGCGTCCTCACGTCCCTCAGAACCCTCCATATTCCCAAAACAACGCTTGCACTTAAGGGCCGCCTGCTTCGGCCAGAAAGAAGCAATTGCGATCGCACTGGCAGCCCATAAGGTCCAGAGTCCCGTCGGCCCTGGTTGTTGCGATTGCTGGTCGCCACCCCATCGCATCCCACGATGTCCTTGGTTGCGCTGGCCCTGGTTGTTACGATGTCCTATCGTCGACCCTGGTTGCTGCGAGTTCTGACCGCCGCCCATGAGGTCCCAGATCCTGCTGTCCCTGGTTGTAGCGACCTCGGGTCGCCAGTCATATCGAGGCCTGGGTCGCGCTGACCATGGCTTTCTCAAGAGATCCATCTGTCGCTCCAGTGGGCCATGGGTCCCACTGGCCCTGGTTCACCTAATTTCTGCTCGCCGCCCAGGGAATTCCAGGCCCCGCGGTCCCTGGCTGCTGTGATTCCTCATCGCCAGAGCCATGTGGTCCCAGCCCACTGGCCCCGGCTGTTGGCTTCTCTGGTCGCCGCGAGGTAGGGCACCCAATTGCCAGGAATTTACTGCTAGCGTCCACGCCGGCAATCACTGAGTAGCGCAAGTTCTCTGAGCCCTCAGACCCCCCAATACTAGGATTCCTGGGCGGTTCTGCGGCTTATCGCGTGACTTTCCAGGTGCCAAGAGGCCCGGGACTTAAATTTCCAACATTCGCCAAGATGGCCACAGAGGCCCATCTTGGGCGTCTCTGAGGTTGTCTTGGAGGCTATTCGTTCAAAACCGTCCGAAATTCCGGAGTGTAGCATTCCCGCCCTTGCTGTCTTCAGAGCCGTGCCGCTCATGTGCCTTCTGGCACACGGCTTGCCTCAGGGCGCCATTTCAGGTAAGCGCGTCCAAGACAGCCTAGGAGGCCCCCAATATCGCGCCAAGACGGCCCCCGAGCCCCCAAGTGGGGCCCAAGAGGCCCCCCAACTCCGAGACGGGCCCCGAGAGTGGTCCGAGAGGGAGGCGGAGGGGCGCCAGGAGCCGTCCCCGCGAGGAGGGCCCCCGACCGACACCGCAGGCGGACCCGAGGGCCTCGAGAGGCCCCGAAGATGCCCAGGAGGTCTCAGGAGACTGCCAAAGGGCTCCCAAGAGGCCCCCCAAGCGACCCGAAGAGGCGTCAAGGGCGCCTTTGATCCGCGATCGAGGCGTAACAGTGGGATTGGCCAAAGGCCACTGGACATAGCACCTAGCGAAGAAGAAGGAAGACAACCGAAGGCTGCCAAAAGGATGCGCAAAGCAAGTGAATGGCAAGCGAGCTAGAGGCAAGCCACAGGCATGCCGACAACGAATGTAAGGCAAAATACTGGCACGCGAAACTCAATACCAAAGCAACACGAATGAAAGCGGATGGTGGGCTGGACTTGATTAGCCGAAGGCAAAGTTAGCTTGGCAAGCTACGGGGTTGTTCGATACCGACTGGGTAGCACATGAAAGGCAAACACGAGATGGGCTAAAATCAGCATATTGCGAGCCATGTGCGACGTTGTCCAAGCTCAAGGCAAGCTGCAGCACAAGCTGACAGCAGGAGAAACGACACTCGAATAAGGAAAGAAGCATCACCAAGACGAAGGAGACCGACGACACTCCTCGAGAGGCTGGGGGGGCACCCTCAAGGAACAAGAGGGGCATTGCCCAGAGACGCGGAGGCGGACGGCCCTGCTTGCACAAGCCTGACTGGGGAGCGAGACAGAGGACCTCGTCCTCCGCACAGGGCTGCCAGCCCGCGCCGCCGGGCAGGCGGAACTGGCAGCCTCCGCCGCCCTGCGGGCCCTCCTGCAGGCGCACCTCCGAGGCCACGGCGCCCCTCCGCCAGGCCTCGTCGCCGACGGTCCCCGGCAGGCGCTCGTAGTGCAGGACGAAGGGCTCCCCCAGCGCGCGCGCCTCTGGGAGGCCAGGCCCACGCGGTGCACGCCTGGTCGGCTGTCAGGCATGCACACGCCTCGTAAACTCCACTCGACGGTCTTCGCAAAAGAGAGGAGAGAAACTGCTTCGCGTACCCATCGGTCGGAAGAAGCAGGCAGAACGATGAAGTAGATTGGACTTCCGCCCGCCCCCTGGAGAGGAGGGAAGAAGGAAATCAGTCGATCCTTGAAGCAGGGAGGCTCCCACAGCAGATTGGGAGATGGAAACCTGAAAACATCTGCTTTCAAGGACCGGTGGGCAATGGCACAGCCAGGGGCCATACCATACTCGAGGCGACGCAGGCGGCCCGTCCCTCGCCCCCGGCCCCCCCCCCTCGGGAGGTGAGGTGGAAAGCCGAGGGGGGGGGCCGGCTCGACGTGCTCCGCGAGGGCCCCCGAGGCCGTCCACGGCGACAGGCACCACCAGAAACCGACCGCGTCGACCTCGGAACCAAGACCGCCCGAAGCCGACAGGCCGCAGACAGCCTCAGATCGGGCGTTGAAAGAACTGGACTCAGTGGGACATGGTTTAGTGGTGTACTGGGGGGCGCCCCCCCCGCCACGTTCCACTAACCAAAATTGACGTCACCCGAAGCAACACCAGCTACGACGGCAGACCTGGTTGAATGGTTCTGGTAATCCCACCAGCCCTCTGGGCGTAGGTGGTCTAGAACAGATCCTCTTCCACCCCTCCCTCTTCCCCCTTGGGGAGGGGTTTACCCCTCCCCCTACCCCCTCCCCTGGACCTGGACGGGGGGGGCCGCGGGTAGTTAGAGCGTCCGGAAGCGAAAAGGCGAGAAAGCAAAAATCATTGATTTTCCTTAGGTTTTGGGACGATTTTGGCCTCTTCGGGGCTTCCGAGGGGGGGCGCTAATTCACCCCCCCCTCTTGTTTGATCGATCTCCTCCAAGATGGCCCCAAGAAGCGCCCAGGAAGCCCCAAGAGGTCCCAAGATGGCCCCAAAATGGCCCCAAGAGGCCCCCAAGAGGCCCCCCGGAGGCCCCCAAGAGACCCCCAAGAGGCCCCAAGAGCCCCCCCAGATGCACCCAAGATGCTCCAAGAGGCCTCGGCGAGAATGCCTAATCATTGATTCTACACAGGTTTTAGCCACATGGAGGCCTCTTGGGGGGGGGCACGGATTAAGATGACTCCAAGAGCGTCTGGGAGAGCCCAAAATGACCTCCAAGATGGCTCAAGATATCCCAAGATGTCTCATAATGGCTTCCTCTGTGTGCTGCCCACTTCTCTGATCGAGGCAATTCCTCTGGGCATCGTTACTGGATGGGCTGGTGGGGATTCGCGAAGCGACAACAATTTTACAGGCTCCGGGGCCCTACCACTAACCGGGTCCTCTTACTGGGGTCCTGGCTAGATGTGATAAGAAGGGCGCAGCGACGCCGCGGCGGCGCAAACAACAGGCTGAACCGAACCGAAAAGGCCGCGCAGCCGACGACGGCACGCTGCGGTAGTCAGTTCAAGGTGTTCCTTGAGGGGAGCCTGGCCTCCGCCAGCAGGCGCCGCAGCTGCATCGCCGGCACCGTGTATCTCGGGAAGGCGTCGCCGCTCCCTGGAGTCCAGTGCGGCAGCTGCGGGCGGATGGCGGGCCCCAGCATGGAGTACACGGTCGGCTTGAACTCCTGGGCCACGTGCCCCGCGGCCCGAAGCAGCGCCGACACGCGCGGCCGGAGCAGGCTCGTGGCGTTGCCAGGGTACAGGGCGTTGATGTGCTCGCTGGTGGAGAAGGTGACCCTCACGATGCCCCCGCCGAACTCCCCGGGCGCCCACGGGGGCCCCGCCCCCCGCTCGAGCAGCAGCGACATCTGGCGGCGCGCCCGAGGTGATGGCCCGAGCGGGGCGGCCTGCTAACGAGGCACGAGGCTAAGGACTTCTCGGAAGGCAGCTGGGTGAGCCTTCGTGGGAGCCTCTGTGGACCTCCGCGGCCCTATCATAAACGTGATTTCGACTGGTGCTCGTCCAGATTTCGACCACCCCGCTCTTCACCATTTCGTCCAGATGTCGTCCAGACTTCGTCCAACTGTCGACCGAATCCGACGAAATCCTACCGGAATCCCCAAGGAATCTGGGGACCTTCTGAGGCTCCCATTAAGGGCTACCTACACAAAGGCAGGGGGCTTCTTGGGAGCGCCTGGATGCTTCGAAGAAGGCTTCTTGAAGCAGGAAAGGCCCCTCATAGAGCCGATCCGAAACATAAGCATGCGCTATAAGGATGCAAGGGCCTTAGACGCCCATGTCGAAGCTTTTCGATCGGGGCGCGGACAACGAAAGTGGCCAAGGATGGACCGAGGAGGGTACCCCTTGGGAAGGATGCCCATCCTTCTTACGCGGGTTGCCTGCCTTCTTAGGAGCCCCCCCCAACCTTCTTAGCGTGCCGCCCCCTCGCGCCACTCCTTGTACACGCCGCCAAGACGTGGGCATCAGGAGGTGGTTGGAGCCCCCCTGTGTTCGGAGCTGGGAAAAGGGGCTGGCGCCGCTGACGTCCATGAGAGAGGAAGAAAGACCGGCATGAACATAAACCTTCGGAGGTCCGCGCAGATTTCGTGGATCCGCGCTGTACCCCCCTCCCTCGCGCCAGGGGCGGCACCTCCGCCCACGCAGACCTCCGAAAGCTCGTGATTCACGCCGGTGTTTGTTCTTCGACATGAGGCCCAGCGCCTGTCGGCGGCGCGCCCAGGGGGGAAAAGGGCCGCAGGGGGACCGGGCCTCCCCGAAAGGGGGCTCCGAGAGGCCGTCTCGGAAGGACGGAGGGCTTCTGCGAAGCCCCGCCGCCCCCTCGGCGAAGAGGCGCGGGCCCCTCTCGCCGCCCCCCCCCGTCGGCGCGCCGCGGGGCCTGGAACAGGAGCGCGTAGGCGGCCGCGAAGGCCAGCGCGGCGGCGCCGCCCGCGCGCAGCAGCGCGCGGCGGGGGCCCCCCTGCGCACCGTCGGGGGCCGGCGGCGGCCCGTCCGCGGCCGGGCCGAGCGACGCCGCGCGCAGCGCGAGCAGGCAGAGGGCCGTCTGGACGGGGATGCTCCGGAGGAGGGAGGCCGGCGTCAAGGCAAGCTCTCGGAGGTCCGCGCGGGCTTCTCGGATCGGCGCTGCGCCCCCCCGGCGCGCGGGGGGGAGCGGCATCCCGGCGCCGATCTGAGGAACCCGCGAGGGCCTCCGAAGGCGTACTCCGAGTTCCGTAAGCCCCCAAATCGACCCCCGTCGCGGGCAGCCACCGCGCGCCGAAGGCGCTCCGACCCCCGTCGCGGCGCGACGACGAGGCGAGTTTGACCCCCGTCGGGGGGGGACCCCCCCACGCTTGTTATGAAACCCGGAGTTTGACTCATGCTGGCCTCTGTCCTCCGGCTGTTCCAGTCCACGTGCACGGCGGGGCTGGACGAGAGGCTGCACGAGGCCGCGACGAGCGCGCCCGCGCCCGCGCGGGACAGCAGCCCGAGGGCGGCCGAAGGGGGCGAGGCCGCCTCGCGCAGCGCGGCGGCCCACGCCCAGGGCAGGCAGAAGAAGGCCCTCGTCGTGCTCATCGTGCCGAAGGCGGGGATGGAGTTCGGGTAGGGCGTCACGGCGATGCCAAAGTGCAGCGCTGCCGCGAGCGCGACCCCGAGCCTGCGCGCGCGGCGGCTCGTGGCCACGAAGCAGGCGCCGATCAGCATCTCCCCGACGATCGTTGCGAGAGGAGCCGCGGCGCACGCGGGCTGGACGAGCCAGTCGGGTGTGAGCTGCTCGGGGAGAAGGGACAGGAGCGAAGCCACGAAAACTGGGGCGCAGGAGACACTCGCGTCGAGAAACGAGGAGTTCAGCTTCCAGAAACCAGCGCCGATGTAGAGAAGTCCGAGCTGCACGGCAGCGACGCGGCTGCACTGCAGTACTACTGCATCCTTCTTGCAGAGCATCATCGTGCCAACGAAGACAAGGTCGATTTGGATGGCCCACCAGCACGCGTCAAATATGTATGGCGCCTGAACAGAGTGCTGAGCTATCCGAAAGATTACTGCTGGCAGTAGAGTCATTGGGCATGGCCACACAAAAGCGACCGCCCCGGCAGCTATCTCCAAATATAACCAAAAAGGACTTGGGAGGAGGTACGTGTTGCTCCAAATAATCCCAGCTTCGGTCACCAACCAGACGCGAGAGTATGCTGTGAAAAGAAAAGATGGGGAACAAGCGGTCATGGTGTGCAGACCAAGACTGTATGCGGATTCTCTTCTACAGCTAAGCAGCAACCCGAACCTAAAGCCTCAGCCAAAACGGCGACGAGCATAACTGTGAGCGCGCGAGTATGTGTATGACACTTCAGGCTCAAGGGAATGGTCCTACATATGCGGTAGCGACAAACAAGGATGCAGGTATATCGATGGCAAACCTGGAAAGGTTGTACTTTGTTTCAAGACAGAAACAGACAGTAGCTTCAGTTACCCAGACCTTCTGCACTGAGTTCAATGAGCAGGTTCGGTTGCCTCATCCTTCATCCTCACCATCATCCCTCTGCTCCTCATCTAATTCCCTCACCTCCTCCTCATCATAATATCATCCTTCTCCTCCTCCTCCTCGTCTTCCTTCTGCTCCTCTTCATCATCATCATCATCATTATCAGCATCATCATCATCATCATCATCACAATCATCATCATCATCATCCTCATCATCATCATCATCATCAGCATCATCATCATAATCATCATCATCATCAACATCGTCACCATCATCATCAGAATCAGCATCATCAGCATCATCATCACCACCACCACCATCATCATCATCATCATCAGCAGCATCAGCGTCGTCAGCACCGTAATCATCATCAGCAGCAGCAGCATCATCGTCATCATCAGCATCCCAGTACCATCACTATCATCATCAGCAGTATCCTCATCACTAGCATCAGCGTCATCCTCATCGTCATCGTCATCATCAGCAGCCGCATCATCATTGCCATCGTCCGCAGAATCATCATCGTCATTATCAGCATCGTCATAACTAGCATCATCGTCATCAGCAGCATCGTCATCATCAGCATCACAATCATCATAATCATCATCATCATCGTCATCATCATTACAATCACGATCGTCATCATCAGCATCATCAGCATCATCATTATCATCATCAGCGTTATTAGCATCATCAGCATCATCGTCAGCATCGTCAGGATCATCAACATCATCAGCATCGTCATCATCAACAACAGCATCAACATCATCATCATCTCATCATCATCAGCATCATCATCATCATCGTCATCATCATCATCATCATCATCATCATCATCATCATGATCATCATCATCATCATCATCATCATCATCATCATTGTCATCATCATCATCACCAGCAGCAGCGTCATCATCATCGTCATCGTCATCATCAGCATCAGTTGCATCATCATCAGCATCGTCATCAGCATCGCCATCAGCAGCATCACAGCATGGCTATCATCAGCAACAGGATCAGCAGCGTCATCATCATCAGCATCATCACCAACATCTTCATCATCATCATCATCAGCAGCGGCATCAGCATCAGCATCAGCATCAGTATCAACATCAACATCATCATCATCATCATCATCATCATCATCAACACCATCATCATCACCATCACCATCACCATCATCATCAGCATCAGCAGCATCATCATCATCATCATCATCATCATCATCTCATCATCATCATCCTCATCCTCATCCGCATCCTCATCAGCATCATCATCATCATCATCGACCTCAGCAGCAGCATCAGCATCAGCAGCAACGTCAGCATAATCAGTATCATCAACATCGTCATAATCAGCATCGTCATCATCAGCCTCATCCTCATCCACATCCTCATCCACATCCTCATCTGAATCCTCCTGATCATCGTCAGCATCGTCATCGTCGTCGTCATCACCATCATCAGCATAATCATCACCACAATCATCAGGGTCATCAGCATCACTATCATCAGCATCAGCATCATCAGCATCATAATCGTCATCATCATCAGCATCAGCATGATTAGTATCATCATCGTCGTCATGGTCATCGTCATCGTCATCAGCAGCATCATCAGCAGCATCATCCTCGTCAGTATCGGCACCATCATCATCGGCATCGTCATCATCAGTACCATCATTGGCATAAACATGAGCAGCATCAGCAGCAACAGCATCATCATCATCATCATGATCAGTAGCATCATCATTATCATCATCATCAGCATCATCATCACAATCATCATCGTCGTCAGCAGTAGCAACAACACCATCATCAGCATCAGCAGCAGCAGCATCCTCATCAGCATCATCATTAGAATCAGCATCATCATCATCAGAAGCAGCAGCATCATCAGCATCATCATCATCATCCACATCCATCTCCACATCTAAATTCACATCCACATCCAAATCCACATCCACAGCCACATCCACCTCCACATTCCCCTCCTCCTCCTCCTCCTCCTGCTCTCCCTTTTCCTCCTCCTCCTCCTCCTCCTCCTCCTCCCCCTGCTCCTCCTCCAACTCACTCCTCCCTCCTCCTCCTCCTTTCCCTCCACTTCCGCGTACTACCCCCCTCATCCTCCTCCTCCTCCTCTGCTCCTCCTTCTCCTCCATCTCCTCCACCCCCCTCCCCCACTCCCACAACAAACTTCTCCGCTCCCCCTCATCCTCCTTCCTCCTGCTCCTGCCCCTGCTCCTCCTCCTCCTCTTCCTCCTCCTCCTCTCCTCCTCCAACATCCATCCTCCTCCCTCTCTCCCTACCACCCTTTCCTCCTCTCCTCCTCCTCCTCCTCCTCCCCCTCCTCCACTCCACTTACTTCCCTCGTCCTCCTCCTCCTCCTTCTCCTCCTCCTCCTCTGCCTCTTCCTCTTCACATTCATGCTCAACCCTTCCTCTCCTCCTGTCCTCCCCCCCTCCTCCTGCTCATCATCCTCCTTCTCCTCCCCGCCTTCCTTCTCCCCATCCTCCTACCCCTTCTCCTTGCGACAGCGTGCGCAACAAAGCCGCGCGCCGAGCTCCCAGCCGGCCCAGCGAGCTGAATCGAACCGCTTTGTTGCAGACACCGATGTCATCCTCTGCCTCGCGCTCTGTCGCCGAGGTCGACGCCTGATGTTGAAGGGTGAAAGTAGGGGTCGGGCGCAGGGTCCCAACAATGGTGTCTCTATGGGCCACGCATGGGCGATACATCCTCGATTGCTGTGTTCGGCGGGGGCTCCAATTGAAGCTCCCCGCCTGCACGCATGCACGAGACTTGAGGGTAAACGAAGCGGGTGGCTCGGGAAAGGCGACGAAGGCAACGTGCGCAAAGGGCGCATAAATAAGAGGAATGAATAAACGAAAGCGGCGAGGTGAGTGTCGAAATCTGCCCAATCAATCTGACATGCAGAACACTGCGCCTCAATTTGAGGATCTTCAGGGCCAGGGCAAAATGTGAATTCAGATCGTGGGGGAAAGCAAAATGTGAATTCAGATCGTGTTGGGAAAAAATGAAAATGTGAATTCACAGCTTAGAAAAAAATGTGAATTCGTACTTTGGAAGCTTGTATACGAAACTTGATGAAAGGGGCAAAATTGTGAGTTCACAGTTTGAGAAAAAAGAGCATGTGAATTCACATGTTGGAAAATGTGAATTCACGTTTTGGGAGAATCGCGGGACCCATTCCAAATCTGTCTTGGGGGTCGACAAGTCATCGTTTGGGAACATACGCGATCATCAATAGCACAATCAAGACACACTTGCACTCCACTTCGCCGCCCCACGCGCGATATGCAAAAACGCCCGCACGCATGAACGATAATGGATGGACAGTCCATGACCGCCAACATTGAATGCCAATCATACCCGATCCCATACATGAGCGGTACATTGAGCATACATGGGCCATTCAGCCCCCATTGAAGACCCCCTGTTGCAGCCCCTCTCTTTCACCCTCCAATGGTGGGGCCACGAGAGGCCCGGCCGGGCCGGGCTGGTGGTGCAGCGCTGCTGCTCTCCGAGCTGGCATGCCACACTGCGGGAGGGGGCGAGCAGTTGCCCCAGCAATCCCTCCTCTGACGTCGCAGCTCGGTCGAGACATGGGCCTACCCAGGATCTCGACATCTGCCCCAGTAAGACGAAGCCAAGACGAGGATAGGTTCGGGTGAGGAGAAGCCGAGAATCTCTGATTAACTGGCGGCTCTGGCGCATGTCTCGGGCGCCGCGGCCTTCTCGGAGCATTCCAGAACTCTGAGAGCGGTCCAGAACGCTCTGGGACGGATTCATCTTGGCGCCTTCCAAGAAGCAGCCTCCTTCTGAGAAGCCTTCCCCCCTCCCCCTACCCCCATCTGCGCGTGCTCATCCCGAGTCGTTCTCGGACGGCCCTGGGGCTAGGAAAACGGCCTCCACGGGCCGGCTCATATACCACTCTGACAGACAAACCGGCACTGCGGCTCTTCTGCGACACCCGAATCTGGCAGCGGCCCTAGCCAGCAACAGGGGCGCCCAATGTCACGCTTCGCGATGCACTCTCGCGCCGCCCTCCGAAAGAGAGAGGAGGAGGACGAGGAGGAATCGGAGCCGAACCGCGAAGCGCGCATCACTTCGCGCCCTCGAGGGCGCCCTTGCAGCAGTCCCCTGCAGGCCTCTCGGGTGTTCGCCAGCGAGGGGCGATGAGCGTGGGATGCGGAAACGCACACCCCTCTCGTGCACCTCTCGGGTCCGCGGTGGCAATTTTGAAGGGCCCGCTGGGGCCAGCTTCCTGCAATCCTCTAGGGCGACGAAATCTATACATATCCACTGCTCCCAGGCCAGGCCCATCCTCAACCCCGCAGCGGTGTATACGCCACGCCCTCCTGGCTTGGCCAGGAGGGCGCATACACAGCTCCTGGGTTCAAGATGGGCATGGTCAGGGAGCAGTGGATATGTATAGATTTCGTCGCCCGATCCTCGATCCCCCCACGTCCACTGCCCCCCGGCGCCGTCCGCCCGAGTCTCCTGAGCCATCACGTCCCGCATCGCCTCCATGACCCGCGCGTGCCAGTCGAGCGGGCGCCTCTCCGCTGGCGGCCGCTCGCCTCCACCGACCCCCTGCAACACCGACCCCCTGCCCACCTCCCAGCCCGTCCTCCCTCCTCCCGCCTCCTCCTCCTCCTCCTCCTCCCCTCCTCCACCTCCTCCTCCTCCTCCTCCTCCTCCTCCACCCTCCTCCTCCTCCTCCTCCTCCTCCTCCTCCTCCTCCTCCTCCTCCCTACATCCCCCCCCCCCACGCACCCATCCCACCATCCGCGTTACCGACGCCAGAACCCGTATGATATCTTGACTTCCTCAAGACCCAATCCAGTCTCGACAGCCACGCGCGCGTTCAGGGCCACCGCCTGACGGAGGCGCAGCAGGGTGCGTGCACGCCGGCAACTGCATCGGGCCTGCCGCGCGGCAGCGGGATGCTTGCACGTCAGGCAATCGCATCGGGCCCGCCGGCCTGCAGTGGGATGCTTGCACTCCAGGCAACTGCATCGGGCCCACCGCAAGACAGAACGCAGACATGCACGCACGCCGACAACGGCAACTACTAGTCCGCTCTGCAGCGCCATAGATACAGTCAAACCCGTATAAGTAGGACGCCCGATGAGGATGTGAGGGCCTTGGAAGGCCATGTCGACACTCTGCGAGCGGGGCGCGGCCAGCGAATGCGGCCAAGGATGGGCCGAGGGGGAAGGATGCGCAAGGGTAACCTTGGAAAGCTGCTCGTCCTTACTATGCGGGCTGACTGTAGGCCTCTAGTGCGAGTGTCTGTGGTTGCCTCCTAACTGTTTCGGACGCGGCTAATTGAGACGAACATACGTCCGTTCCAGAGCGTTTCGGAACTCTCTCAGAGCGTTCTAGAACACTCCGAAAAGGCCGCGGCGCCCGAGACATCCTCCAGAGCCGCCGGATCTCGGAGATTATAGATTTATCCTCACCCGAACTTATCCTCGTCAAGGCTTCGTCTTACTGTTCGTGGCCGAGGTTCGCCGTGGCCAAAAAAGCCCATGCGCTCCTGATTCAGCGTTCCCCATGGCGCCATACACCAAAAAGCCATGCAAGCATCGAAGCGCATCGGATCCCGAAAGGCGACGTAGAATCGGACCTGGTCGGGCGAGATCGGCATGTCGAATCGAATCGATCGAATCGAGATGGGCCCTGGCGAAAGCTGGGACTGGCGGCAGTGGCGCTGCTGCAGTAGTTCTGCAGCAGGGACCCGGCGTGCAGGTCGGCGGGCTGGCAGCGCGCCACTGGGGGCACAGGGAGAGAAGCACCCGCCTGGGCCGCTGAGAGGCGCGGCAAAACTCTTCCTCCTCCTCCTCCTCCTCCTCCTCCTCCTCCTCCTCCTCCTCGCTCCTCTCCCCTCCTCCTCCTCCTACCCCTCCTCCTTCCTCCTCCTCTCTCCTCCATCCTCCTCCGCCTCCGCCTCCGCCTCCGCCTCCTCCTCCTCATCGTCCTTCCTCCTCCTCCTCCTCCTCCTCCTCTCCTCCTTCCTCCTCCTCCTCCTCACCTATTCCCCTCCCTCCTCCACTTATTTCCCTCCTCCCCCTCCTCACTCCTCCCCTCCCTCCTCCTTTTCCCCCTTCCCCCCCTCCTCCTCCTTCCTCCTCCTCTCCTTCCTCCTCCTACTCCTCCTCCTCCGCTCGCCTCCGCCTCCGCCTCCTCCTCCGCCTCCTCCTCCTCCTCCTCCACCTGCCTCCTCCCTCCTACCTCCACATCCTCCCCCTCCCCCCTACATCCTCCTCTCTTTCTCCACCACAACCTCTTCCTCCTCCCCCACCTCCTACCCTGCTGCTCCTCGTCTCTCCTCCTCCTCCTCCTCCTCCTCCTCCTCCTCCTCCTCCACCTCCCCCACTCCACTTATTTCCGCACTCCTCCTCTCATCATCATCCTCTTCCCCCTCCTCGTTTTATCACTAGTCGTATTAGTAGTAGCAGTAGCATGTTCCGATGTTAATCGTACTAATATTATTAGTAGTAAGTAGTGTTACTCCGATTAGCATCGTCATTACTAGTATTACTAACACTAATA